TCGAGGGGGGGGGGGCACTGCCGACTCGCAAGGAGATCTTAACGGCGAAACGCATGAGGCGGAATGCACCGCAGCCTGCGCAGGATCCATGACACTTGGCGACGGAGCGAGCTGGGCCGAGATAGAGGCTGCCCAAGGTAGGACGCCATCGACAACGCCCGTCGGTTGCAAAGCATCAGGGATGCGCTGGCGGGGGCCCCAGCATCCGCGATCAAATGAGCCACGTGCTTCCAGCCAGCCACCACCTTCTGCCAGCGCATGTCGCTCGTGACGGAGTGGCCAAGTAGCGCGCCGAGGTGCTCCGCCGCGGGCGTCACCTGCGCGCTGGCCCAGCGCGGCGCCAGTTTGGATAGTCTACCAGCGGGGCAGTCTGGCACTTTTGTGTCTTGAGGGCCAGGTGCGCCAGGTGCTCCGCCGAGTAGAGCGCGCTGCCCAGCGGGCGAAGCATCTGCATCGAGGGGGGAGGCCGCGCCCGCGTCGTCAGCGCAGACGCCGATGACTCTCTGCTTGAAATGGCGCGCGCGGTGGGAGAGGTCCTTGATGAAGGGGGCCCATGCCAGCCGCCCAGAGCGCCCCCGACCATGGGCGCCCCTGCAGGATGCCAGAAGCCAGCCAGCAGAAGATCTGCAGCGCGCCGCTCAGATTGGCCCAGGCCGGCGGAAACGCGCAGATGGCGTCGACAAATGCCGCGGGGACAGCCGCCGCACCTGAGCACTGGAGAGAGGAAGCTGCGGCGCATCGACGGGAACGCGTCGCCAAAGTCAAACATCATCATGAATGGGCCCTTCTCTTTGGCATTCAGTAACATGGCCGCAGCGCGGGCTTGGGCGCCCATCATCGAAGCGCGCGCCATGAAATGCCTGCGCGGGTGGAAGCCTTTCTGCGCGTGGTGGGCCGACTTCGCGATAATTGGCCTCATCCGTGCATTGCCCATCGCCGCCGCGATCATGCAATCCGGGTTGATCAGGAAGAGTGAGCGGGTCGCCTTCGCCAGCCCTGTCACGGTCTGGCAGCCCTCAGGCCCCTCGCAAGTTGGCGTGAAGACCAGTAGCGGCCCATTGGAGCGTAGAGGGACAGGGGGGGGGCCTGTCATGATCTCGGCGGCGACGTTGGGGAGGATCTGCGCGGCCCGCGGGGTCTTCTTCCATGCCGCGTAGGGTAGCCCGTCAGGGCCAGGCGCAGAGTTGTTCAGCTGCTTGATGCGGCGCCGCATATCGCCGAAGGCAGGGATGTCCATGCCCGAGAAGTCGCAGTAGGAGCCGCGCTTCAAGGTCGCGCGCTTCACATTCATCAGGTCACCCGGCTCAGCCTGCTGGCGCCCACTGATTCTGGGGTTCGGCGACCATCTCGGGAGGCGGGGAAGTAGTGGAGTGGCCCTGCAGCACCTCGATGGCCTTAAGCTCGAGAACCTTGCCCGATGGGGGGCCAGAGCTTGCCGCGACGCTCCAGCGCGCGACGCATGTTGCGCAGGCGTTGGCGCTCCTTCTGAGGGGTAGAGCGGGCGTTTGCTTCCACGTGGATGGCTTCCAATCGTTGGTCTTGAAATTCGCGCTGGGGACCCTCATACTGCCGCCTGAATGCCACCGCGTCCTTCGCAGTGACGTTGTCCTCATCAGAGATGCCCAGATGTTCGGCACCCAGCTCCGCCCGAGCATGAAGCATCCGAGCAGCGTGGAAGTCGCTCCTCCATACGGCACCCGAGATCGCCCTGCAAGCGGTGAGGGCCGCCGCAGAGCAGGGCGCATGAGCGCCGGTGAGTTCGTCTCTCGTCAGTCAAGCAGCTTCATGTTAGAGGCGCTGGATCTCTGTGGGCTGCGCGAAGGGCGGCATATCTTGCTATTGGAGGTGACCCGCGAGCAGCTTGATATATGTTCCGAACAGTTCCTGTTCAAAAAGATGCGCTGAGGGATGGGCTGAGAGCCCAGGGCCTTGTCTGGAAGGCGGGCTGAAAGCCGAAAGAGCACTGGCGGGTGATCAGATATACGCCGCGATCGCATAGCTCTTCTGGGGGCGTGGGCACGTCAGCGCGCGCGCACCATTGCATGAGCATCCAAGGCGGCGCGCCGACGTGGATCTTGTCGAGGCGCGCGCACTGCTGCGACTGCTCCGCGTAGCGCGTAGGAATCTCAGGGTCGATCTCCGTCATGGCCGAGAGCGCCGATCCCCGCGGCAGCTGGCGCTCAGAATTGCGCCGACAGAGACGAGGAAGGCCTCCGTTGATTAGCGGCACGTGAAATCTCATGCGGAGCCTCGCCCATGAAGTTGAAGTCGCCCAAGACAACGATCGAGGTGCCATTTGGTTAGCCGCGACAGCTCGGCCCGCAGTGCCCCCGTGACCGAGCGAACCTGCTGTTCAGTAGGTCTGAAGTTGCGGATGTGGTATATGAGGACCACGGTGGGCCTCGAGCCCCCCTCGGAGTCGATCTCGACGCGGAGGCGTAGAACTCGGCCAGGCACAAGTTCCGCGTGTCTGAATTTGTCGGCGTTGCCGGCGTCAGCTCGACGTTGACCGGGGGGGAGAATAGCGGCGCCGCCAATGCCGCGCTCGGGAATGAAGGAAAAGATAGCCGCCGAACGATGACCGAGGTGCGACGCGCGAAACAGCTCAGTGCGTGAGCCGTGGACCTTCTGGGGGGCAACCACCGATGAGGGGCGCAGCGTGTCCGTGAGCGCGAGCGCCTTGCGTCTGCGCTGCGCCGTGCTGTTGCACAGGAGAGCTCGAGGCGCCAGCGCGCGGTTAAAGCCGCCACTGGACATCACGTTCCCCAAAGGTGGTCTGGAAGAGCTGCTCGAAGCGGGTCTTGAAAGTTTCCCTGTCGATGTTGTGTCTGACGCAGCCGTCGCAGTTGAAGGGAAGGCGCGACTCTGCGTCGCGCGTGGCACTCACCACCACCGAGACCACTGGCATGTTGCTGCAGTAGAGGATGCCCTGTTGCCTAGCAGCACGCCATCCGAGGTCAGGGTCAATCTCTCGCCCAGAGTGAGCACGCTTCTTGGCATGGAACATTCTGCGCGCACATTCGCAAAGCGGTAGAGGCCGAGGTATAGCCTGGATGTCTGGCCGTGGACATTGCGGACCTCGGCGTTGATCCAGCTGCCGTCGGCCTGCTTGAATTTGCCATCGAATTTCCTGACCTTTCGTGCTGCCGCACTTGCATCGTCCGAGAATTGCAGCACGAAGCGTTTGGCAGGGCTACGACCGCGAATATCCCATTGTCCATCCTCCAACTCACAACGTTCGGTGATTGGCTGGATGCTTGCTTTGAACTGCTCAGTCGTGTTCTCTGCGGCCATGCCCACGACAATGCCGGTGCCAGCGTCGCGGTCCCATTCGAGCAGGTTCTCGTAGTCTTTGATCAGGATCTGCGCCTCCTGCATGTGGAGCTGGCGCCGAAGCTCGACCATTTACTCCCAAATCGTCTTGTTGCTGTCCTCCAGCGTCTGCGTCGTGGCCTGCAAGGAGTGCATGTCACCGCGGAACTGCTCGTTCTGTGTGCACTCCTGGGAGACCACCGCACCGAGGGGGCCATTGAGCTGCTCTCCGAGCTTGGCGAGGACCTCAGCTCTGACCACAGCCAACTTGGCGTCCAACTGCTTTGTGAGAAACTCCTGGGAGGCCGCGATCGCAGCGCTGACAGCCACCATGGGGTCGACGGGCTGGTCGTCATCAGCAGCACGGGGCGTGCGTGGGAGAGGAGCGCCATCCTCCGCGCGGGCACGCTTGTTGACCAATGGATCAGCGCCAGGCTGCTGCAGCAGGCCACCGCCTGCACCTGCAAGCTCTGCGTCACCAGGAGAACAAGAAGAAGAAGAAGAAGAAGAAGCAGCACTGGCAATAGCGTTTGCGCCCACCACTGCTGCCGCCAGGCGCCCAGCCGCGGGGAGCATCCGGACTCAGAGGAGGGGCCCTGCTCAGGTGAGGCTGCATGATGAGACGAGCAGGAACCCACGAACGAGGAATCACTGTACGCCCAAGGCGCGCGAGAAATCGTGCTTTTGCTTGTGGCGCGAGAGACGGTGAACAGAAGCCTCGTGGACTCTAGCTGCTGCCCACTTCCCGCCATCTTGAGCCAAAGTGGCTACGGACTCTCTGTGTTCCTCTGTGTTTCTCTGTGTCCCTCTGTGTCTCTCTGTGTCCCTCTGTGTCCCTCTGTGTCCCTCTGTGTCCATATGTGCCCTTCTGTGTCCTTTTGTGTCCCTCTGTGTTTCTCTGTGCCCCTCTGTGTCCCTCTGTGTCCCTCCATGTCTTTCTATGTCCCTTTGTGTCCCCCTGTGTCCCCCCGTGTCCCCTCTGTTCCTTTGTGTCCCCTCCGTGTCCTTCTGCGTCTCTTTGTGTCCCCCTGTGTCCCTCTTTGTCCCTCTGTGTCTCTCTGTGTCTCTCTGTGTCTCTCTGTGTCTCTCTCTCTCTCTCTCTCTGTCCTGTGTTCCTCTGAGTTTCTCTGTGTTTCTCTGTATTTCTGTGTCCCTTTGAATTTCTCTGTGTCCGTTTTGTGTTTCTCTGTGTTTCTCTGTGTCCCTCTGTGTCCCTCTGTGTCCCTCTGTGTCCCTCTATGTCCCCTGTGTCCCCCTGTGTCCCCCTGTGTCCCCCTGTGTCCCCCAGTGTCCCCCAGTGTCTGCCTCTGTTCCTTTGTGTCCCCTTGTGTCTATCTGCGTCTATCCACGAACCAGATTTCCGCTTGAACGAACATCTTTTCGCTTGAACGATCTACCCTTGGGGGAGGAGGGGAGGGGGGGGGAAAGGGGGGCATGACGTAACGCTCCCGCCCCCCAGTGACGGACTGTGGCGCCGGACGCACTGCGGCAGTGCCAGGGACGCACTGGGGGGGAGCGTCACGATATGGGGCGGGAAGGGGGGGGGGAGGGGGGAGCATAATGCGCGTCATGGCCAAGAGAAGAAAAAAAACTTCAAGGGGCAGCACACAACTGTGGACGACGCGAGCGGTCCGACGAGGGCTCGCGGTCTGCGCCCCGAGCCCTCGAGCTCCCGGTCCTCGCCCCGCCTCGCTCTGCAGCCGCTGGGCTACGGCCGCCGCGGCGTCGCGCTCAAGGCTGGCCTCGCGGCGAGGGCACGAGGCTGGCGGTGCCCCGCCACGCTGCCCTCCTCCGGCCCCGCCTCGCTGACTCGTGCTTACAGGAGGGCATGAGGAAATCGGGTGGCCGGGAAGGAGCCTCGTCCTCTCCCGCGGCCTCCCTTCTCCTCGAGTGTCCTGTGAGCCAGAACAGAAGGAAGAGGGGGAACAACAGAAGTACTTGCCGTCTCGCACGCTTGCTGACACCAAAAGAGAAGGCGCAAGTCCCTTGAAACGAGCCATGAACAGTGATCCTGAGCATGCGAGTAAAGATAAAGAGAGGCTGCCCAAAGCTGAGGTGGAGGCTACGAGGAACGGGAAGGGGGTGGAAAGGCAGAAGAGGAGGGAGGGGGGGGAGAAGGGCAGAAGAGCCAAGCAGAACGCCCCACTAGCACCAGTTTCGCCCACAAAATATCGTCATCCCGTCGTGGAAACCAGGAAGCGAAGGGACGTGACCCCAGCCCCGCCGCAACAGAAGCAGCTGAATGGCACAGATGTCGCAAACAGAGGAGCGGAACAAAAAACATGTACGTCTGCACGCACGGCGCCCAGAGAGAAAAGGACAAACATTCAGCACGCTGCCACTACACGGCTCGGTCCCCAGAAGTGGACCGCCACTCGACTACGAGAAGGAACGAGGAAAAGGAGAAGCCAAGGCGGCGAAGAGCAGGCCAACCCCGATGGGGCCGGCGGGCGTTCCGTCATCGGGAGGCGAGAGAGAAGTGGGGGGGAGAGATGGGATGAGAAAGGAGTGGCCGTGCCCGCTGATGTTTTCGCGCTCAATGCCGCCAGCTTCGTACCGCCGGGCCCGTCACTTCTAGTCAGCGGTTGAGAGCGGGCGCATGGGCGGTGCCGGCTGGAGGAAGGAGGCGACTGGAGGAAGGAGGAGGAGAAGTTGGAGCACAGCGGCCGTGCTCCGGTATGAGCGCGCGCACGTGCCCGTGAGGCACGACTGCCTTTTGAAGCGCCCGGACCCATCCACAGCTGCCTGCACGCCGACGATAGAGAGAGTCAAACTGGGAACTCCAAACTGCAATCCGCTCCATGTCCAAAGGCGTGAGTCGCTGGAGGCGTCCGCAGCACTGGTCCGAGGAGGGGGCGGGAGAGGAGACGGATTTTCTGACTACTTCGCCAGCTATGTGCAGCTCCTCCTCGACCTCTCGCATTACCTCTCTCCCAGTTGCGAGGAGGTCGAGCACATGTCTCCACTATAAAAGTAATGTCCTGTCCATGGACTGCTCGCTGGAGAGTGCAAGTGTCCTGTCAAGCCCCTCGCCCGTATCAGAACCTCTCGGAGATACTAAGCCCACGCAGACCGTGCAGCTTGCGCCCCTGGACCCCCTCGAGCTCCAACATCGTCTGAGAACCTCGCCCGCAGAAGTAAACTCTGTGACCAACGGATTTACCGCAAACGGAGCTCATCATGGAAAGACGATGCTGCCATGACAGATGGGAAATAGTCGAGGACCAACTTGAACTGATATGTCATTGTTCGACACCGAAGTCCCCAGATGTGCATACAGTTGTCGAGCTAGTGAGCGCGAGCGAAAGCCAGTATCAGTAGACAGATATGGGAGGGTATGAGTACACGTCGGCCTGTCGGTCTGGGAATGGATGCGTTTGAATACAGATGAGTCTAGGATATGAGTGAGTCGCGTGCCTCTTGGCACGAGTGAGCCTGAGCATGAACGACTCAGTATGAGCGGATCAGTACGAACCATTCTCAAAATGAGCAGCTGATCGAGGCGCACGAAGGCTCAGTGTAATTCTTTCTGCGTCTGAGCAGGCAAGGCTGAGCGCGCATGGGTCTGAAGATAAATTAGTCTGAGCATGATCGGGTATTGGTATAAGTGAGTCTGGGTGAGTCTGAGTACGAGTGAATATAAGCATGAGCGGCTCGACGCGACCGAGCCTGTATGCCAGTGAGTCTGGGTATGACTGGCCCAGCACGAGCGGCGTAGATCAAGAAGAATATGTGAGCGTACTTCTTGCAACATGCAAGCTCGAGACATGCGCTCTCTTCGTAAAGATGCGCGCGCCTGAATATAATAATAACAAATGAATGTGAATATGAGTGGGTCTAGGCGTGCCTGGGTCTGAGCACGAGTGAGTCTGGGTGTGATTGGGTCTGGAAAGGAGTTTGTGTAAAGGAGGCGAAGTCGATCTGTGTATGAATGAGTCCGAGCGGCTTCGATTATATGAGACTCTGCATGGAAGGGCGGGAGGGCGATTGAGTATGAGAGATTGGGTGTGAGATCAGTGGGTATGCGCACGAGTGGGTCTGAGGATGAATAAGTTTGGGTGTGAGTGGGTCTGGGTAAGAATGCACCTAAGCATGAATTGCTGAGCACGACGGGGTGAGACTGAACATGGGTATGAGTGAATATGCGAATGCGTGCTACAATATGAATGCGCCTGGGTATGCATTGGACCGGCCATGAGTAAGTATGAGCCGTATGAGCCTAGTGCGTGTTGGTATATGCGGGTCAGTATGAGTGCGCTTCGGTATGCGTTTTGAGTATGACTATGAGTCGGAGTAGGAGTAGGAGTGTGAGCAATATGGCTTCTATGACTATGAGTAAGAGTACGGGTGCGAGTACGAGTATGAATTGAAAATGCGTGTGAGTATGAGTATGGGAGGGTCCGATCGTGAGAGAATGTGGCCATGCATGCCTGGCTATGCGTGGTCCTGGGTCTGAGTGGGTCTGAGTATGAGTCGATATGAGCAGCAGTATGTCTAAGCATCAGCAGGATCCCAATAGCCCTCTCAAAGGGCCTCCTGGGCCCTGCTGGGGCCTCCCTCTGCCTCCTGGGACCTCCTGAGACCCTGAGACCACCTGGAGCCTCCTGGGGCCTCCTGGGAGCCATGAGTCTCCCGGAACCTCCCGAGGCAACCCGCCGACTGGCAACGCAGGGGGGGCGCCTGCTCTATCGCGGCGACTGCGGGGCCTAGAAAACAGTTCCACGTCTCCCCAAAACGGAGACTCTACCTGAGGGGTCCCATCATTCTCGGCGCGAACGGGTCTCGTTTGCGATATCTCGTCCCGCCAATCTGGGCGCGCGTTATCCCCACCAATACGGAACCTGCGAAGGCGAGGTGCCGCCAGATCTGCGTGAAGCACCACCAAGCCTGACTCTTTTCGGGGCGCAGCAACGCGGCGACACTTTACACGCATGGCAGCACCCAGGAGGATGGCGACGTCTCTGTGGATCTGCGTGGGGCACCACTCCGCTGGACCATTCGCGGGCGCAGCAGTGTGTCGATAATTGCACGCTCGGCAGCGCAGAAGGGGCGAGGTCTCACTCGACGTGCGCGGGACACCACTCCGCTGGACCGCTCGGTTGCGCAGCAAAACGGCGACAGTTGCGCGACATTTGCACACCTGGCAGCTCGCAATGGGGGAGGGGGGGCGATGTCTACTTCGGGCCATCCGCTGAACCTCTCGGAGACGCCGTATCGTGACGGCACTTGCGTGCTGGACAACACCCAGCGAGGGCGAAGGAGAGGAAGGAGACGGGAGAACACAGAAGGGTTGGGAAAAAAGCACGTTCTCCCCCAAGACGGACGTCCTACCTGAGAGCTCCCACCAATCTAGGCGCGAATGGGACTGTGATAATCCCAGGGTCGCTACCCTGAGGAGGCCCGAGTGTTATGCATGCTGCTTCGCGGTGGCCACTGGGCTCTGAAAAAAGACGCGTCGTCTCCCAACATATCTGCGAACTACCTGAACAAATCCCACACATCCGCCGACCCTGTCGGCGTGTTTGAGGAGAAGTTCTGGGCTTGTCGTCCCGGGGTGGTCCTGAGAGACGCTCTTTGAGTCGAAGTTGCCCCCCCTTGCTGGCGGCCACCTTTGGCTCCCCAAGCTCGCCGCGCTAACCCAAGGTGAATTGGGCCAGGTCACAATCGAAGGGAAGCCCCTTCCCTTTGAGCCCCCCCCCTCCTCGCGGGACAAGGGGGGGAGGGGGGGCAGTCCTGGGAGAGAGTCGAGGGGGGGTCCTGGGGAGGGTCCTGGAGGGAAAAGTCCAAGGGGGGGGGGGTCCCAGGTTAAAACGCGCACCCCCCTCCTCGTTCCCCGTCTGGGTATTAGTCAGGCTAACTTAGCCCTCTTTCGGTCACGTAGGTCCAAGACGCTCGAGATGGTCCCAAGACTGCCCAGGAGGCCTCCAAGACGGCCCAAGAGGGCTCAAAGCTGACCCACACAAGGGCCCAAAGAGGCAAAAATCAGCGACCCTCCCAAAGATTTCGAAAGATTCGAGCTCGCCTTCTCGGTATTTCGACGCTCCAAGACGGCCCAAGAGGCCCCAAGATCGCCCCAAGACGGCCCAAGATGCCCAAAAGAGAACCCCAAGATGGTCGAAGAGGGCCCCAAGACGGCCAGAGAGGTCCCCTAGACGGCAGAGGGTCACACGGAAAGCCCAAGAGAGGGAACACGGACCGACACTTCGAGCGCTCCGCCCAAAGATGCCCCCCGAGACCACAAGAGACCCCCAAGTGGCTCCCACGAGGCCCCCAGGAGGCCCCCAAGAAGGGCAGGATTGGCCGAAGGCCTCTGACTCTACATCTGCCGCCCCGCGTGTTTACCACTGAAATGCACGGCGTATTAGATTGTTGAATGGTTTGAGCCTTGTAAGTTCCCGGTGGCCTTCGTCTCGACCCGCTGGCCATACAGAGGCCGCGCCAAAGGGGGCAGGCAAAGATATTTCCGCCCAACATGGCCCCAGTATGGCTTCCCAAACTGCCAAGATGGCCCAAGATGGCTTCCAAGACGGTCCCAAGACGCCTTCAAGACGGCCCAATGGGGCCCCGAGACGGCCTAGGATGCCCTCCAGACGGCCCAAGAGGCTCCCACAAAGATCAAAGGGGGCTCCAAGAGATCCTCCTGGAGGGACACAATACCGGTTGTCCTGAGGTTTTTCACTGGTTCTAGCGTTCATGCCTTTTCAAACTTCCAACGCTCCAAGACGCTCACATTGGGAGAACGGCCCCCAAGACGGCTTCCGAAGGCCAAGAGGCACCTTAGAAGCTGGCAGAGGCCCCCACTTGGCCCCCAAGGGGCCCCAGCAGGCCCTCAAGAGGCCCCTCAGAGGACCCAAGAGGGCCCCAAGAGGCCTCAAGAGGACTCCTTTTCCTGCTCCTCCTCCTCGTCCTCATTCTCCTCCCTCTCCTCATATGTTCTCTTCCTCTCCCCACTGTTCCGCCGAGAGGGTCCACAACGGCTGGGGGAACACGGAGTACAATAGCCTGGCCAGATTTGGCTCAACGTTTGGCCACACAGGCGTGTCCAGAAAGGCAGGGGGCGGCCGGCGGTGGCTCGCCGTAGGCGTCGCGGCCTCCCCAATGCACCCCCTTCAGGGGCGGCGGCTCAACCAGACAGTAATACCGCCTCTGGTCGGCGTCGGCCCGCATTTTGAGGGGCGAGTACAATGGCAGCTGCGTCGCGTTGGGATGAAGGATGAGGTGCGTCTAGGCACGAGCGGCTATGCATGAATATGGGTAGTGAGAGGCTACATTGTCGACATGAGTGACTGGGTGTATGAGTGAGCGAGACCGAACATGAGCGAAGCTGAACATGAACGACCGAGCACGAATGGGCCTCAGCAGAACATGATCGAAAAAATGATAAGTCTGAGTATTGGTGGGCATGGGCGTACGCGACCACATGGGAGTCCTTATCAGTGTGGGTATGATCTGATGCGGAGTGTGCCAGAAGTACGAACGACAAGGTGTAAGTGAGTTCAGTAATAATGCGTGTGAGCGGGTCACATGAGTGACTGGGGATGGATCGACTTAGTGCGAGTATGAGCGAGTATGCGTGTAAGGATAAGTGGAGGGCTGGAAGCAATGAGGAAGCGAAGGCATAAAACCAGCAACACGAATCCCGCACGCTGATCATAGCGAGATGACACGCGAGGCAAGAAGGTCGCCTGCTATCATTGAGCAGAGGGCGGCTGTTGGAACGCTGTCCAAAACACGTATAAACCACGGCTCTCACGGCAGAAGCAACGATTGCGTCGTGACGGAAATGCGGCCGAACTGAGGTATCCAAATCGAACGCCATGTTCGAAAGGTCCACATGAACCGCATAGGAAAAAGTAGCGCCACGACACCAATCAAAATAGACGCGATCTACGGCCCTCGTGCGCGATAGACCCAGAACGAATCAGGGTGCGCCCAGCGCTCTCCTGATCTCGGGATTTTTCCTGTTCCGGACAGGCAGCGATTCAAAAGCAGCACGCTTCGATCGGTCGGACCACATTGCTGTGCGACCTGGTACCTCGATCTCCTCCACCACTGCTGCGGCGTAAATCGAAAGACAGCGCAGGCTCGCCCGCCCAGGCGTTCGCGGAGGCCACCGCACACGACACCCAACACATAAAAGACTCGCTGGCAAAACACTGTCGGGCTTGATACCGTCAACTGCAACACGGGCCTCTCACCGCCCCCCAGCAACCGCTGACAGGCCTCCTGATGCCCCACTCTCGGGCATGAAGGCTAAAGCGCGCCCAATATTTCACTAAACCGCGACCCCCTATATACCTTCCTTGTCCCATCCCTCTTTCCACCTCCTCCAACATTGGTCCCTTCACCAATATATATATATATATATATATATATATTGGCTGCTGCCTTCTGTTCAGTCCATCTGGCATCCCCACTCTGCTCCTCTCCGCCCTCCGTTTTGGTAGAGAGGCAAACCATAGCCTGTCCAAGCTGGCTGCCGAGCTGACGCACCTGAAGAGGCAACACAAGCGCCCAATTGCTGATTCCCTCGCCAACTCACCTGCTGAAACTCCCCCTGCCTCTCATGGTTGTCTTACCCCTCTGTGTCATGGCGCTGTCCCTGCAACGCTCCAGCTAATTGTCATGCCCTGCCCCATTTGCTGCTGACATGTTTCCCATAGTATTATTAGTTATCCTCCTGATCCCCTGGATCCCCCTCCAAGCGTCTTCGTCCGACTATGTTGATCCACGGCTTACCGTCGCCCTCGTCATCCACTTGTTCCACGAGTCCAACGTCCAACCTCCTGCACATAAGCATCCTCTGTAGGCGGGGCTGGTTCCAATGAGCTGTGCCAACTGGCAGACTGGAACGAACAGCTGCGACGAACGGCTACCGTTGGACAGCCCACATTGTGATGTGCCATGTATCCCCAGATCTCAGCTGCATACAGGGGGGCACCAAGGTCACACTTTAGTTTCTGAAGCTTCGCGTACTCTGCACCAGCAGGGCGAGGGCAAGCAAAGCCTTGTGCTGCGGGGTCGGGATTCTCAGGGATCTGCAGTTGGCCACGTGTGCCGCCTGGGGTATCCAGAGCTGTCGCCAATGCAGGGGGCGCCTGTTTGTGAATGAAGCACTAGTACGTGGAGCTTATGAACATGTCATGAAGATGACACGCCAGCACATAGGGGTGCCACGAAGGACAGCACCGCTCTCGTGAGCCCATGGTTCTGTCAGGCTGGAAAACACAATTTTGCGTTGCGGGTGCCGAGGGTCGACATCAAGCGCGTCACGCTTACCTGCGGGATCAAGGCCCAACCTCCAAAGGGAAAGCCAGAAGAGCAAGGCAAGGACAAGGCTCCCAGGGTCCAGCCCTAGGGCGGGGGAGCTACCGAAGCAAGGGCGGCCCCAGCTCTCCCTATCCGGCTTCCATGGGTCGTGGGGCGACCCAACACAGTGGTACATGTGCCAAGATGGCACATCAGTAAAGGCCACCGAGAGCCCTTCCACTATACTCGATTTGTTCAACGCGCAGTTGAGGACCTTCCCGCGGACAAGCTCTGGGCGGGCCGCAGAGACGCACATTCATGTTAGGTAGTCGCAAACATTGTGACGCAGCATGGCAAACTACTCTCGACAAGAGGGGGAGGCGATTGTATTTCAGACGTTGAACCGCACATGTTTACACGCGTCCCTAGCAAAACGCTCATGGGCGCAATCGAATCGAATATATACACATCCTCCTCCTCCTCCTCCTCCTTTTCCTCCTACTCCTCCTCCTCTCCATGTCACTACTCTCTGTCCGAATGCCCAGTTCGACGCACCCCTTTCCCAGATCGGGTCCCATAGGGAACCTACGGCACCAATAGGCAAATTCGAATGACGGCGCCACGCCCAGTTCGGCACACCCATCACGCGTAAAGTGCCCCACACAGAGCTCCACCTACGGCCTCACTGGGCCACTTCGCATGGCGGCACCGCGTACATTTCGGCACGTCTCTCAACTGGATCGCGCCCCACAAAGGCTCCACGCACGGCCTCAGTGGGCCAACAGACACACGCTACGCGAATCGTGTCCCACAGGGACTTTCGCCTATGGCCTCAGTGGAAGAATTCGAATGCCGTCCTCGCCCACTGTGGCAGACCCCTCGCGCAGACAGCGCTACAGATATGGAACTCCGCCTAAGTCCCCGGCAGTCGCGGACGCATGCCGTCCCCCGTCCATTTCGGCAGACCTCTCGCGGAGATCACGCCACATAGTGAGCTACAGCTACGGACGGCCCCAGCTCTCCTCCCCCTCATCCTCCTCCTTATGAAATTCCCCACCCTTCCTGCGTTGCTGGGCCCCCGCTTTCAATACGCAGCGACATGCGTCTCCTTCGTACGTATCCTGATCTTCCATCTCCTCCTCTCCCACATTCTTCCTCCTACCTTTGACCTCCGCATACCCATCTCCTCTCCGAGAGGAATTCTCACTCCCTGCGCTCGGTCTTTGGGCGGCAAGTAACGGACTTGAGGGTAGCAAGGGCTACAGTGCTTCAAATTGCAGGCAGGCGGACTCAAGTTCCATCGAAGCGCCCCCCATACTAAATGATCCTGGCGAAGGACCCAGCCATGTGCGGCTGTGAGTAGCGCAGTTGTGGGTATCGTGCTCGGTGAACCTCTATGGGGCCACGACGCGTGTGACGGGTGTGCCAATATGGGCACGGGTACGCCATGTGGGCGCTGCCACTGGAGCCGTCGGTGGAGCCCCCTGTGGGACCACAAAACGCGTGAGGAGTCCGACGAAATGCAAAAGGGAACAGCGTGCGGGCGCTGCCACTGGGGCCTTCGGTGGAACTCGCTATGGGGCCACGAAACGTGTGAGAGGTGCGCTGGCGTAGGGGTGGAACCGCACGCGGGCGCTGCCACTGGGGCCGTCGGTGGAGTACACTATGGGGCCACAAAACGTGTGAGGGGTGCGCCAAAATTGTGGTGGAACTGCCAGCGGACCCTGCCACCAGGGCCTTCGGTAGAGCACACTCTGGGACCACGAAATGTGTGAGGGTGCGCCGAAAATCTAATGGAACTGCATGCGAGCCCTGCCTGTGAGGCCTTCGGTGGAGCACACTATGGGGCCACAAAACGTGTGAGGGGTGCGACGAAATGGAGGTGGAACTGTATGCGGATCCTGCCGCTGGGGCCTTTGGCGGAGCACCCTATGGGGCCACGAAACGTGAGAGAGAGATGCGCCGAACTGGGGGTGGAACTGCATGCGGACCCTGCCACTAGGGCCCCAGGTGGAACACCGAAATGAATGGCGGGGGCGCATGCGGGCGGCAGCATGTGGGCCTTGGGTAGAGCTCCCGATGGGGCCACGAAGCGCGTGAGGGGTGTGCCGAAAAGGGTGGCGGGGGCGCATGCGGGCGGCACCATGTGGGCCTTGGGTGGAGCTTCCGATGGGGCCACGAAACGTGTGACGAGTGTGCCGAAAAGAGTGGCGGGGACTCATGCGGGCGGCACCATGTGGGCCTTGGGTGGAGCTCCCGATGGGGCCACGAAACGAATGACGGATGTGCCAAAATGGGTGGCGGGGGCGCATGCGGAGCTCCCGATGGGGCCACGAAACGTCTGAGGGGTGTGCCGAAATCGTTGACTGGTGCAGAGGGCGGAGGCAGGGATGGGAGGAGGGAGGAGGGGGAGGAGGAGGAGAGGAGAGAAGGAGAGACGCGGGGCGCTGTCTCTTCAAAACGAGGACCCAACACAGGATGATTTGGAGAAAACATCCCAACACGCCCATTCACAGCGATCGTGCCTTGAAGGGGGGCACTATCTAAAGCTCAGTGGGGGGGGGACACATAGCGCCCCTCCCGCCGATTTCGGCACACCTATCACACGTGCCGCGCCCCATACGGAGCCCCATACACAGCCCAAGGTGGGTGACCACATACAAACCCGCCAACTTCAGCACACCCCTCACTCGGACCAGGCCCCACAAAGAGATCCATCTACAGCGAAAATAGTGGTGGCCACATAGCGCCCCACCCGCACGTGCTGGCACATCCCTCACAGCGATCGTGCCAAACAGGCAGCTCCACCTGCAGCCCAAAGGAGGTGGGACTGCAGAGCGTCCCGCCGCCAATAGATCGGCAAGACCCGCCCACGTGTCGTCCCCCATCGGGGGCCCCATCCACGGCCAAAAGAAAGATGGCCGCGTAGCGTTCCCCCGCCGACCTCGGAACACGTTTTGTTCCCCATGCGGGGCGGGCATCTGCACCAACGGGGTGGGGGGGCGCGCTCATTTTCTCACACCCCTCACAACCCCATAGACAGGTCCATCCACAGGTCAAAACGGAGCGGCCGCACCGAGGCTCCCCCACAAATTTCGGCGCCCCCCTCGCAGCGGCCGTGCCCCACGAAGGAGCCCATCTACCGCTCAAAGGGGGATGGCCGTATAGCGCCCCCCGCCCATGGCGGAACACCGTCCACACGTTTCGCGGTCTCCAGAAAGCTCAATATGTGATCCAGGGTTGCCCCACACCCTCCCCTCGCCCGATGCATATGGGATCCAGCCCCCCCTCCCGCTGGATGGGTACGCACGTGAGCCTCGCGAAGGCCTCGCGAATGGGATCATTCCCCCCCCCCACCCCGCCCGTGGTCGCGGCTCTGTGGATGTAGCGTGGTGGAGGGTGCTGGTGCACCCCCCACCCTCCCCCTGTGGGTGTGGGATGGTTCGTCGTCGTCGTCGTCGTCGTCGTCGTCATCGTCCGTCGCCCATCGTCCGTCGTCCGCCGTCCGTCGTCGTCGTCGTCGTCATCGTCGTCGTCGTCCGTCGTCCGTCATCCGTCGTCGTCGTCGTCATCGTCGTCGTCGTCCTTCGTCGTCCGTCATCCGTCGTCCGTCGTCCGTCGTCCATCGTAGTCGTCGTCGGCGTCGTCGTCGTCGTCGGCGGCGGCGGCGTCGTCGGCGGGGTCCACGTCGGCGTCGGCGTAGGCGTCGGCGTCGTCGTCGTCGTCGTCGTCACCGTCGTCGTCGTCGTCGTCGTCGTCGTCGGCATCCTCGTCGGCATCGGCGTCGGCGTCGGCGTCGGCGTCGGCGTCGGCGTCGGCGTCGGAGTTGTAGTCGTCGTGACCTCGGCGTCCCCTCGCCCTTGGGCGCACCCTGACCACCAGCCGGTGCACGTCCGCCTGCAGCTTTGCGCCCTGGCGGGGCCGCTCTTCGAGTGCACCCGAAGCTTCCCAACGTCGACGCCGCCGTTGGAGGACCGAGCATCGGAAACCTTACGAATGTGGCGCTAGCTTTATGAAAACCCTGAGATCTGGCTCGACAGCAGCGCAAAAAATCCAAGTCGCGTTGAGGCGGTAAGCCAGCCCACCCATGGCGTGCAAACGTTCAGCCCTCCCACCGTGGCAGGGGTGCTTAAGGGGTCAGCGCGGCGGGAGAAGCTTGTTGGAACCCACAAGGAATTGCCCGACGCTTTACAGGCAAACTGCCTGAGACATCCCCACAATCTGGGCGCGAATCCTGGAGTGTCCTCACCTCCTGCCGAGGGGGGGGGCGACCCTGGGAATGTGGGGCGGGCGGCCTGGAACGGACGAGCCCGCATGGGTGTTTTTGAAAACCTACCGGCCCGGGTGCCCTGGCTTTTGCACGAGGGAGCGGCGAGGGGTACTAGGAACAGGGTGAGGAGGAAAGTCTTTCGTGTCTATCCTGCGGCGTTCTAGGAGACCACCATGGAGCACGACGACAGAACGAACGGCGACGAACGACGAAAGGAAAGGGCTCCAAGTTCCACGGTGCGAGGCGGGGATAACTACATCCACATCCACCGCCTGTGGAAAAGACGTTCTTGGACCTCAGCGGGCGGTGGATATGTCAAGGCGGTGGTTGTGAACAAAGCACCGCTACGGAAGAGAACGAAGCTTCCCCTCCGCTGGCCCCCGTGCCGCGACCGCGGGCAGAGAGGGAGTGGGCGGGCTGGGCAGTGGCAACGGGGTGGGCCCGCGCGCCTCCTGGCCCGCCGCGCAGCGCGGGGAGAGCCCGTCTGCAGAGGCCACCGCGGCCCACTCCGCCTCCCGTGGCCCGGAGGTGCCGGGGGCGTGGGGGCAGGCAGGAGGGGGAGGAAGGGGGATCTTGGGCATTGCTGAATGGGGGGGCGATAACTGGGGGAATGTAAGAACGTGCACCTTGCGTATCCTTTTTGGCACCAGGGTGCCCCTTCAGGGCCCCGTTCAGGGTACGTGAGGTAAGGTTCACCTTTCTTCATCCCCCCCGTTCGTCGCCCCTGGTACGCAACGCCCGAGGATTGCGAGGATCGAGGCTTCGGGTTCGGGGATCGAGGATCGCTTTCTCTTGAAGGCTTTTGGCCCTCGTCTGGACATGCGGAAAGCGCCAGAGACCACGAGTGAACTCGATCCCACAGACACCTCAGGACATGAAGGGTCCTGAGTCGTGAAGGAAGCAGGGGGCAGAGAGGAGGTCGGAGGGGGAAAGGGACAATCATTGTTATCGAGTTCCCGGCTCCGGCGATTGAAAAGAAAACAAACTGCCCGAGAGGCCTGGAAGCAGGTGACCAGCAACTGGCCTTGGCAGAGGTCCTGGCACTGCCGCGGTCCACGGCGCCTCCAGAAAAACACCGCAGAGCCAGTGCTCCAAATCGAGACTCGAAGCTGCAGCGAGAAAATACCCTGGCCACGATCGCAGGACTCCAACGTGGGAGCGGCCACTGCCAGTCCCAGCCTCAAAAGCTGGATGGGTCCACTGCCGGCCGCTTTCGGCACCCCTGCCAGTGGGCGTGCAACGGGTACCCTTCCCAAGGGAGCTGCGCCAGCCTGGCCCCATACACGAGAGGGCGATATGCGCACACCTAACAGGATTCGCCATCGGCAATCGCACAAGTTCCCTCGCGGGTAGGAGTAGGACAACGCGAAGAAGGAGAAAGAAGGAGGAGCAGGAGGAACTGAAAAACAAAGAAGCAAAGAACCCTATGACTAGCATTAATGGCAAGTGTGGTAAAATTGGCTTGGGCTGCTGACAATGTAAAGATCTTCCCTTGTCCCCCTGTGCCAATGGCACAGAATCCGTTCCACTGAAATTAGCTAGTCGTAGGCATCCACCTTAATGCCCAGAGCTACCAAAGAACAATTTGCCCGGTGATGCGCGTGCGCGCCCGCTGCCGTTTCGGCGCCATCGTATTGACCACTAAGCTGGGAAAATAGATGAGCGAGCTTGACCGTGATTGTGTCATAACGCTCCGACTCTCAACATTGTGTGGTGCTCTCGATATCGATTTGGAGCTGGTGATGCTGGCGAGGAGGACGAGGGAGAGGAGGCGGTGCAAGAGAAGAGGTATACGCTCTTACATCAACGACACGTCCAACAAGCGACCATGACTGCACAATCCGCGAGCACTACTACGCATCACCACAACAATGCTGCCCCGTAGCGTACGACGGAGAAACGCCTGGCCAGCGATGAGTGCTACACCAGGACCAGCGGAGGAGGAGAGGGAAGAAGAAAGACAAACAATGGGCAGCATAGTTGCAAAAAAACAGTTAGAGGAAACGGTAGAGAGGAAAAGGACAGTGGACAATGCATTGGCCTGCCTCCAGAGAAGCAGGTCGGGGAAAAGAAAAGGAAGCAGGCAGCGGACAGACAACCCCGATCGATCAATGATCGCGGGCCAGCCGCGCACGCGCTGCATGCTACCGCGCCGAACCAGCGCGCCCTCACGCAAGCCTGGCACTCCTTCGAGCTCTTACATGTGCCCTTGATTGGACCAGGAAGGCCACCATGCCGCGAAGCAAACAAGTCAATGCGTTGAACCCAGCGAGCACAAGCATCGCGAGCACCAGGAACACCAGGGCATCACACAACCAAGAGCATCGCGCCCATGAGGCTGGACACCTCCGGTGGCGGCAGCGGCAGCGCTCCAAGAATCACAACCCTGCTGCACTGAGTCGGCGCCAAGGGTGGCAGAAATTGCCTGACATTCTCCGTTGCCCTTGCTGTCCCCCTTGCCCTTGCCGTCATCTGGAAAAGTACGAAGAGTATCTCGCTGATGTGGATGCGCGGCACGTGCTTCTTGGAGAAATACCCCACGAGCAAGACCCCAAGCCGGATACACCGCACCATATTCATTAACGAGAGGTGCGGCAAGCTGAGCGAGTTCCAAACCACGGCAAGCAGCCACACCACAACTAGCTGACGATCACTTTGTGCGCCTGGAGCGTCACCGCGATCATCATGACACATACGACGATCGGCATCGACCGCACAAGAAGAAGGCGCCCGAGCAGGTGCATTATCCCAGTGCGACCCTACCCAGGAGTTGGAGCAATTAGGAAAGCAACATCTACATCTACACCGATGCTAAGCTATGCTATATTATGCTGCGCTATGTGCCTGCTATGCTAGGCTATGCTATGCTATGCTATGCTAGACCCACAAGCAACATCTACATCTACACCGATGCTAAGCTATGATATGGTTTGCGTTGCTTGTGCGTTGCTTTGACGTTGCTGGTGTTGGTTTGCCTGTGTGGTGTTGCTATGCTATGTTATGCTATGCTATGATATGCTGCGCTATGCTATGCTATGTTGTGTTTTGCTATGCTGCGCTATGATGCGCTGTGCTGCGCTATGCTATGCTATGCTATGCTATGCTAGGGTACGCTCGGCTGCGCTGTGTTATGCTAGGCAATGCTATGATATGCTATGCTGCGCGATGCTACGATATGCTATGATATGCTGCGCTATGTTATGATGTGTTGTGCTGTGCTATCCTAGGCTATGCTATGATATGCTATGCTGCGCTATGCTATGCTATGCTATTATATGATATGCTGCGCTACGAGATGCTATGTTATGCTATGAGATGCTGTGATATGCTATGCTGCGCAGTGCTATGCTAAGCAATGCTATGCTATGCTATGCTATGATATGCTGCGCTATGCTATGCTATGATATGACATGCTGAGCTATGCTATGCTATGTTATGCTGTGTTTGGCTATGCTATGCAATGCTATGCTGTGCTAATGCTGGGCTGCGCTATGCTGCGCTGCGCTAAGCTAAGCTAAGACAAGCTATGCTAAGCTAAGCTAAGCTAAGACAAGCCAAGCTAAGCTAAGCTAAGCTAAGCTAGGCTAGGCTAAGCTAAGCTAAGCTAAGCTAAGCCAAACTAAGCCAAGTTAAGCCAAGCCAAGCCAAGCTAAGCTAAGCTAAGATGAGATAAGCTAAGCTAAGCTAAGCTAAGCTAGGCTAGGCTAGGCTAGGCAAAGCTAAGCTAAGCTAAGCTAAGCTAAGCTAAGATGAGATGGGCTAAGCTAAGCTAAGCTAAGCTTAGCTTAGCTTAGCTTAGTTTAGCTAAGCTAAGCTGGGTGAACCCAGGGGGCGCAACTGGGGGAACCGCGGGGCGGATGCCGGGGGAACCGCCCGGGGCGCATTACACTGCCCGGCCCCTTAAGCAAACCGAGTAAGAACCCTTCTAGGCAGAGCCTAGGTAGGGAAAAAGGAAAAGGGAACGGGTAGGGAGGAGAGTGACGTGCGGAAGGTGAATGATTCCGAAGAAACAGATCCGGGGGGGGTACACGATCGGCACGCATGGTTGTTGAGAACGTGGCACGCCTCATCAAGATCAGCAACAATCAGGTAGGAGCCAAAACAAATCGGCCCACAAACTGCGCTTCGCCGATGGGTGCGCCAAGACGCGAGTGCGTGCTTGACGTTGGCCAAGTTGACCGTTGTAGCAGAGCGCGAGCTGAGTTGACCTTGGCCAAGTTGACCTAGTTAACGTTGATTTTGGCCAAGTTGACGTTGGCGCAAGCGCGCGCTCGTGTGACAACGCGCCCACCTTCGCGCGATGAGGAACATTATCGCGTAAGTTTTTCAGCTCGGGCAGAGAAAATTGACACTGAGGGCGGGTGAACGAAGATGGGCGGACGGAAGAGAGGAGGAGGCGGAGGAGACTGACGACGAAGAGGGTTAAGAGGCGAAGTAGTAACATGAGGCACGGAGAGGTCATGTGGAAGAAGAAGAAGAAGAAGCAGAAGAAGGAAGAGGAAGAGGGAGCAGGGATGGCGGGGTGCAGGAGGATGTGGGGGGAGAGGAAGACAAGCCAGAGAAGCAGGAGGAAAGAACTAGAAAGGTAAGCGACTGAGCCGAAGGCAGTCTGCCCCCCAACCCGCCCACCGTGGCCGCTGGCCAGTCAAGCAGGCAGGCCATTATGTCGCCCCAAACCGCTGGGGGCATGCCGTTCCTGAGAAGAGACGCACCCTCTGCCTCTCTGCATCCTGGGTACGACCGCATCTTGCTGCCCTGCGATTCTTGCCCTCCTCCATCTTGCAGTTGCGGGTCAAGGTCCCCCTCGAAGCGCGTCTGGTCATAGTTTCTCTTTTAGTCTGAGGGAGTTGAAAGGGCAATGCAGTGATCGGACGTCGCCGGTTGATCGCTGGCAGATCCCCGAGCGGAGCGCCGCTGCGGGCCAAGGTCCAGTATCCGCCACCGTTCCCCAAGGCATAAATTAAGACATCCTCAGGCCCCTTGAGTTCTCCGCCTCCAGTCCTGAGGATTAAAGATTAAGGGGCACAGACCCGAAATTCTCAGATGTCTTGAAGCTCCCAGCGTCTTCCCGCATGTCGGCGCGTGTTTTCGCTAGACGCTTCGGGGTGCAAGAGTGCATCAAGACTGGCGAAGAGTCCCGTATCGCCCCAAGATGGCCCGAGACTCTAAAGATAACCGATGGTCCCCAGACGGCCCAAGAGTCCCCCAAGACGCCCAAAGAGGGCACCAAGAGGTCCCCTAAGAGGGCCCTAAGAGGCGCAAAGTATCGATTCCCATGGGTTCCTGAACAGGATTAGCATTCTCGCCATTTCGGTCTTCCGACGCTCCACGACGGCCCAAAAGACCCCTCCCCCCCCAGACAGCTCCCGATAGCAGACCCACAAGAGTCCCCTCCCAGAAGCCCCAGAAACCTACAGGAGGCTCCCAAAAGGCACCCAAGAGGCCCACAAGACACTCCAAAATCGCCTCCAAGAGGGGTCGGACAGGCCTCACAAGAAATCTCCACAGGCATCCAAGAGGCCTCTGATCTACCACCCAAACATGGTGGCGGGATGGGCCGAATGCCATTAGATTAGCCAGGGGCACGCCAAGGGGCAACACGCCGCCAGCGGATCGCAGGTAGATTTCTGAACGGAACGCGGGGCATCCACCATGCCTGAAGACACGGTGCAACAAATATTCCACATTGTACGTCGCACGCCAGATGTTATCAGCCCAGGACTGTTCCGACATTGCATCACCGTCGCCAGGGTCATCCCTCGGGATATTGCCGGTGGGCAGGGGAGGGCTGATCGGAATGTCTGTGCCGCTTGACTTGGCCGAAGAGCTCGAGATCTAAGTGGGCGAATTCATCTCTGTCTCAAGCGATGGTCATGTGAGGGCTGACGAGGGTGCTCCAGAGGAGTCGTGGTTGTCGTGGGGGGCGGGGCGGGAGAAGGGAGGGGTGGAGGGAGGGGAAGGGGAGAAGGGGAGAGGTCTTGAGGTAGAGGTAGGCGGGGGAAGCCGAGGGGGGGAGGGGCAAGCTAGGTGCGCGCGCGTCATGTCTGACGTCCTACCCCTCCCTCCAATTCCTTACCATGGCGTAGATCTCCTCTCTGTTCGCGAAAGCGGATGTCGCAGAATGGTATAGCATTACATGGCATAGCATGGTGTTGAAGATTAACGCGTAGCATGACATAGCATGGCGTGGCGACGCCCCAAAGTGGGGGGTGGGGGGGGCTTCTGCGGCCCCAAAAATCAACGAATCGAAACCAGATGTGGAATCACTTCGGATGGTTTTTTCTGGAGGCAATTTTCTAGATTTGGGGGCCTGTGGAAGGACCGAAAGCCATTCCGTGGCATGGCACTGGAACTAATGACGCCAGCGCTGCAGCGGGAGCAAATTTCGGGACGAGCGGAAGCGCAGAAATGAGGCCAGCGCAGCAGCGAAGCACGATTCGGGACGAACCGAAGCCCGAAAATGAGGCCAACGCTCCAACGGGAGCAACATTTTGAGAAAAAACTATCGACAGCCCATATCCCGGGGATACCGTGTAAAAGACAATATGCGGAGGGGGCCGCAGACCTTCCGGACGTCACCAGGGGAGAGAGGAGAATAGTATTCATAGTGTGTAATTGTAAAGGAGAGGAATATGAGGAATTGGCTCACTGGTGTATTGGTCTACGGTGTGGGTAAGGTGGAAGTACGTTAGGACCCTCCTTGATGGACGTCTTCGATGGCCGAGGGTCCGCAAAAGGAGTCCTCCGCCCCCTCCATTGGCAACTGAAGCCCTGATGTGTAGAATGCGAGAGGTGGGGGGCGGACATGACACAGGGAGGGGGCAGGCGGCGGAGCCCGGCCACGCCACGCCAGGCCGGCGTGGCCTGGCACGGCAGGGCGCGCGGCGGCGGCCTGACCTGGGCGGTCCACGCGCGGTGGCCGGGCTGCTGCCGCCGGGCGCGGCGGGGCTGTGCTGGCTGGCCTGGGTGCGACTCCGCCCGCGCCTGCCCCCTTCCCCGCCCTCCTCGCCCGCGTCGTGGTCCTCGTCCTGGCCCTCGTCCTCGCTCCTCGTCTCTGTCCTCGTCCTCGTTCTCGGCCTGCCCTCGTCCTCGTCCTCGTGCTCCTCCCCCTCCCCCGCCGCCTCTTCTGGGGCCACCTCTCCTCCCATCTCCCGTCCTCCTTGTTCTTCTCCTTCTGGTCGTTCTGGTTGCCCTCCGCCGCCGCGGGCTCCTTTCGCCTGCCGTTTCCCCAACAGCCCCCGATTCCAAAACCTGCGCGCTTGCCCGCCGCCGCCGCGTTCCCTCGCCGTCTGCTCCAGGCGGTGGCAAGGCGACGGCGACGTCAACTCCGAAAGGTGGCAAAAAAGGAAGAGGAGGATCAAACTCTGGGAAAGCAGGATTTGGCAAGGACATGGCCAAACAGGGGAAAGGCTATTTGGGAAAAAGTGGTGAATTGGATGAGCATACCAGATTGCAAAGTATTTCTGAAGTGCGGCAAATCGAGTCCCGATGTATACATGTGGGGCGCGGTCAACTTAACTGCTCACCGCCCAGCAGCAGGTGTATGATGTTGGCCTCTGGAGTTGTTACTCACCCTCCATAGAAAGCACGTCTCACGAACACGCAAGGCCCCGGACCTTGCCCGAGTCGGCCAATCTCTGAGTAATTGGAATCACCGTCAAAAGTGGAAGTTGTTTTATGCAGGGGGGGACGCCAGCCGTTTGTGGCACCAGAGAGCGCGAAGACGCATCATCCCTGCGTGCCCTCACACTTGTTATCCTCAGGTGGAGGCCCATCTTCAATACGTTACCTATGGCATCTGACAGGCGTGCCGAGCAGCGAGAGGAAGGGTTTTCAATCATCGCCATTCGACTTCAAATGTTTCTGGCATTCACCGGCTACCGCTTGACATATTGAAGTTCGTCATGGTTGGTATCTTCTCCACAAACAAAAATGGGGGACATTACTTGGAAATTGAACAACATATCCTGGAGGCACGTCTCAAGATTTTGGGAGGTCCTAACTACCGGAAGGTAGATTGCACGAGCGACACCCCAAGGGAATTGTTCGACAGCTTCAAAGAAAGCGTGATGGATGTGGGTAAGATACTGAACGATTTGGCATCTTGCCATTCGGTCTTGAGTTGGGCCCACAATGGATACAAAAATGTGGTATCGACTTTGAAGAACACGGTCGAAACTCACAAGCGTGCCAGAGACGTAAAATTGCTTCCAATTCACGCAAGCACAGGGAATCCAATGACTGGTGCCATGGTTCACGTGTCTTCGATGTTGAAGCCAAAACTTGAGGCAAAGAACATACATTTTACGTGACACCCTCGATATACTCAAACAGCTTGGTCATGTTGAGGTGGATGCGGACGATGTGTTCGTACGGTTCGGCATAAAAAGGCTCTTCCCCACATCCAAAATGGGTTTCTTGCTTTCTCTGGACACCCCGCGCACGAACAGGAACATCCCCTTCCCGCTTCACTAAGCACTCATACACTCACATCATCATCATCAGAATCAGCATCATCAGCATGAGCATCATCATCATCATCATCATCATCATCATCGTCATCATCATCATCATCAGCATCATCATCATCATCATCATCATCATCATCATCATTATCATCATCATCACCGCATCATTATGACTTACACACTCACACACACACACACTAATTCTCCAACTCACTCATTCACTCACAACCGACTACCTACCATCATCATCATCATCGGCATCAGCACCATCACAACACCATCGTCAACAATGTTTCGTCTGTGAATGAATTGCGGGAAAGACTCAGGCGGGAGCCCCCTCCCTATAGGGTCCGCCGCTCTGGTGTTCAATCCGGGCGGGTCATCGGAACCCTGTAACTGTCGTCACTTTTGGGCCCCTGACGCCTGAACGCGGAGGAAGTAACAGGCGGGAGCCTCGTCCGTGAGTGAATGTTTAAGGAAATCTTGGGCGGGAGTTCCCTCCCTACGGGGCCCGCCGCTCATATGTTTAATCCGAACGGGTCATCGTAACCCTGTAACTGTCCTCACTTTTCGGCCCCGGAGGCCTGGATATGGAGGAAGTATCATGCGGGAGCCCCGTCTGTAAGTGAATTTCGGGAAAGACTCATGCGGGAGCCCCCTCCTTATGGGGCCCGCCGCTCATTTGTTTAACCCGAGTGGGTCATCGGGATCCCGTAGCTGTCGTCGCCTTTGGACACCTGAAGCCTGAATATGGAGGAAATAACAGGCGGGAGCCTCGTCAGTGAGTGAACTGCGGGGACGACTCAGGCGGGAGCCCCCTCCCTATAGGGCCCGCCGCTCATGTGTTCAATCCGGGCGGGTCATCGGAACGCTGTAACCGTCGTCACTTCTCGGTCCCTGAAGCCTGGATATGGAAGAAGTATCAGGCGGGTGGCGGCCGCGATGTACATCGCGTTCGACCTTCGCGCATGCCACTGGCGCAATGACAAACACGACGTGCAGGAGTCCACGTACAAGCGACCGCACCACCACTTCGGGCGCGCCCCCATCGTGTTGCACCTCGGCGATTTCTTGCAGCTGAAGACCACGGACAGCACCGGCCCACTGACTTCAACGAGCTCCTGGACGACGGGTCCTGCAAGTACGTGGAGCCGCCGACGGTGAAGGTTCAGCACGCCATCAACGTATTCTATCAGATCCCCCGCGTCTTCAAGCTGAAAGGCACGAAACCCTTCGAGCCCGGGGACCCTCTGATCACGTTATTGGGGTGCACGCGCGAGGGCAAGCCCTTCCCGCCAGAGGCCTGGTCCGCCTGGGAAAAGAGGTTGGCCTCGGTCAACCACGGCGTCCTCGACCCTCGGCACCAGCGCGAAACCGTTCGCGTCGGCTACGGCATGGGCATCGACTGGGAGACGCTGGCGAGGTGGATCAACACGCGCGTTCGTCGCCACGCGGGGCGTCTGGGCGTGCCCCTCGTTGTCTTGCAGGCCGTGGACCGGCCCGCGTCGGCAAGGAGATGCAATTCACGGCAGGGCTCGTGCAGGAGCAACCGGCCACAATCGTATCTTTCGAGTTTCACCCCGAGGACGAGCAGCGGCACCAGGAGTGCAAGACCAGGCCAGCTTTTCCGCCCCCGATGTCTACCGCAGGGAATCTGCAGGTGCACGGCTTCAAAGAGTCTCCGATCTACCAGGAGGTCGCCGAGGTGCTGCTACAGGGCGCCGAAGACGCCGACGACGACGGCGAGGCGGAGGCGCGGGCGAGGAGCTCGCTCATGTTCAGGCCAAGCGAGCAGGAGCTCACATGGCACAGCTCGGGGCCGCACGCCGTGCGCCGACGGGGTTCACCACGACGCACGCGTCTCCACGCTGTCGCAGGGCCAAACGCTGCGCATGGTCGTCACCACCGACTGCGCGAAGGACGAGGGCGCTGGTCGCACGGGCATGTCGGACGAGCAGTGGTGGCTGCACCTCTACGTCATGTTCCCTCGCGCAACGCACTTGCGGAACATGCTGATCCTGCCGCCGCCGCCGGGAAAGTTCCAGGAGCGAGGGCCGCTGGAATCATTGCGGAAGGCGCTCCTGGAGTTCGACGTCGGAGCGGGGAGTTCCAAGGCAGAGGCGGAGCAGCTCGCGGCAGAGCTGGGTTTTGTGCTGCCCCCCGCCTGAGCGCGGCGGCGCCCCGCTCGGAGCCCGCGGGGTTGTCCCAACGGTTTGGTCTCGCGCGCCAGCGGCTCGCGGGGTTGTCCCGACGGCTTGGCCTGCGGGGCTGTCCCCGACGGCTGCGCAATCCTAGCAGCCCTATGGGCGCAGGGGGTCTAGACCGTTTCCTTTTCTAACCTCCTTCCTCTCCCTGCTCGGGAGGTTTACCCCCCCCTCCCCAGGTCTGGACGGGCTCCCCCGCGAGGGGTTAGAGCGTCCAAGATGGCCCAAGATAGCTTCAAGAGGACTTTAGCTAGCCCGAGATGGCCTCCAAGATCGCTCAAGGTACCTCAAGACGGCTCAAGATAGCCTCCAACACGCATCCAAGAGGCCTCAAGACGGCCCCAAGACGGTTCCAAGTGCCCTCCGAGCCCTCCAAAAACCCCCCAAGAGGCCCAAATGGGTTCAAAACATGGAGGAATCAATGTGTTTTGACTTTTAGCTGTTTCGTTTCCGATGGGCTCTTGAGGCGTCAAGATGGCCCCAAGATGGCCCAACATAGCCCCAAGAGAAGCCCAACAGGGCCCCAAGACGGCCCCAAGAGCGCCCGAAGAGCGGTCCAACTGGGCCCCAAGACGCCCCTGTTGGGCCTTCAAAGGGGGGGCCTAAATTTACGACCCCCCTCTTTTTTGAGCGAAGGGGTCCAAGACGGCCCCAAGAGGCCTCCCAGACCTCCCAAAAGAGCCCCAAGAGGGCCCCAAGACTCCCCAAACGAGCCCCAACAGAGCCCCAAGAGAGGCCCACGGGGAGCCCAACAGAGCCCGCAAGATGGCCCCAAGAGTTCCCCAAGAACCTCTTGCAAAAGAAAACCCAAAGTTCGACTTCATCCTTCTTGTCAGCTTCCTTTTCTTCCTTCCTCTTCCCCCCCCTCTCCAGGGAAGTCCCGCCTGAGCGAGGAGGCCCAGGAATATTCTGGGACGGAAAAAGGGGATTGCCAGTGGCCCGGGGAGGGGGGTCCAAATTCCAGGAGAAGGCCGGAATTATGACCCCCTTTTTCCGGGCCAACTGTCGCATACGTTAGGTCCTCAGGCCCGACCCTCTCACATTAGAACCCGTCGTCGCTAGGGCTTGAAGTGTAATGTACATGATACTTTTTTGAGGTTCGCTTGTAATGGCCAAGAATGGATACAAACACCTGCGTTAGAGACGTCTACCACGGAAAGCACCACGCCGAATATAGCATTGAGTTCCATATGTACCTTCAAGGCGGGAAGTTATGTGTGACCCTTGTTTTCTTTTTTTCTCGAAGACGGCCGCGCAACTGCATGTTTCCAGCCGTCCTTGCCTTACCAGTTCCCCCGCTGGTCGTTTCTGGATGGGCTGGTGGGGACTTTTGATCGCGAGCGCGACGGAAGTGCCGAGCGCCGTCCGAAAGACGTAACAAACAAAATTGCGCAAACAGAGACAGGGAGAGGAACACCGAGAGAACAGCAGCAGCAGACAGAAACAGGAGGCGAGCCTCGGTGCCGCTCAGAAGAAATGCACTTTCGCCTGGGGGGGGGCACCAGCCGGAATGCATCGCCAAAATGGCGGGGGGGATTCAGGTTGGACGACTCCGCGAGCATGCCAGTAGCCAATGTCGGATAACGGTGGCCGCCTCCTGAAGCAGCGAATCAGGCGGCGCCGCACCAGCAGCGAATGGGCGGGCTGCACGCCTCAGAGCTGCCTGTCCAGGCGCATGCGCGCTGCGGGTGAGCAGGCCAGGAGGCTAGCACCACCGCCACAGCGAACCCTCGGGCTCCAAAGCGAACTCGCCGGCCAACACGACGCGTAGGCGAACAACGAGAAGCAGGCGTCAGAGATCACTGGTGGGGATACTTTTTCGTCGCGGCCGCAGGCGAAGGCGCCAACAGCGTCAGCAGAGCTGGCTCGGGCCACGAGCAACCTAATTGCCGGCGCGCGCGCCGAGCAGGGCAAGACAGCCGCGCCGGGGCTGAGCTGCGCCGGGGGAAAGGACTGCCAGCTGCGGGGCTGCCAGGATGCTGCAACATGCGAATACCATGGGAGCTGAATCACCAGGCGCGCGAATCAGGCCTTGTCGCCACCGGGCGTCAGAGGACACGGCAGCAAACTGACAGGTGACACGCCAGGCCGCACAAGAAGGCTGAACCACTCCTGAAAGACACGGCGGGCCAGTACCCCATGTGGCCAGCTGAAAACCAGAAGTCAGGGAAATGCAAGCACTCGTGCTGGAACTGGTCGGAACGCGCGACACCAAAACGCCAGGGCTCACTCGGCTCCATGGAACGGAGAAGAAGCCAGAGGCCAGGGGACGGGCGCCTCCACCGGGGGCTGAGGGGAACGAAACCTGGCGTCAGCGGCGGAGTGGGAGCCAGACGCGGCCAGGCAAGGCGGTGTCTGGGGACCAGGGCCAAGGAAGTGCAAACACTCGCGCCGGTACTGGTCAAGACGCGTGAGTCGAGGACGTCACGAAAGGGCCAGAGCCAGAATAATCGAGCCAGGCCGTGGCACGGCCCGAGCAAAGGCCAGGGTGAAAACAGCTCTGTAACGGCCAAGGCCGTAAGGCACGTCGCGCCCCGCGCCAGCGGGGACAGCGTGCCCGGTATTGACGGCGACTGGGGGCCAGCTCCCCAAACACGGGGAGGCCGAGCCAGGTGCCGTGCTGGGGCCAACACAGAGCGACCCTGGACCAGCAGTGGGGAACTGAACCGCGCTGCAGCCAGGTGCGGCGAAGGCCGGGGAGGGGCGATGCCAGGGAGACCGAACCAGGCCGTGGCCAGGTCCAGGCAAAGGCCAGAGCGAAAACAACTACAGCAGCGGCCATGGCCTATAGGCACGCCGTCCCCGCTCCAGCGGGTCCTGCGAACCCGGTATTAACGGCGCCTGAGGGTCAGTTCCCCAAGTGCGAGGAGGCCCTGTCGACTGCCGCGAGGGGCCGCCACCGAACGACGCTGGGCCAGCAGTGGGGGATGAAGGCCACTGCAGCCAAGTGCGGCGAAAGCCAGTGTGAGCTTTGCACTATTTGCACTAGCTCACTGGTGGGGATTCTTGTTTAGTCAGCGGCCGCAGGCGAGCGCGCCAGCGGCGAGTCCGGTCAGAGCGGGGGGCGCAAAAAACGAATTAACCTAAAGCGGTGGGCAGGAGCCTCACGCAGCACCTCGTCGGCGGGCCGGCGAGTGGAAAAGGCTGGCGGTAAGCTGGAAACCAATACTGCCAGGGTGCACGCATGCAACGCGTCGGAAGCGGCAGGCGGCCATAACTGGCGACTGGTGGGGATATTTTTTTCGGTCGCGTCCGCTAGCGAAGGCGCTAGCGGAGTCAGAAGCGCTACGGGTCACGACAGCGGCCTAATTAGCAGCTCAACGCGCCGCGAGCCGGCCGGCCCGCTCATCCAGCAGCGGCTGACTGCGCGGGGGGAGCGGCAAGCAGAGGGCGTCCAGGGTGCTCGAGCACTTGCAACACGGCAAAATGCTTGTGAATTTAAAATGTGCCGAGTGGCAAAACCCAAACGGAGCGTGAGGACGATACTGGTGGGGATACGCGAAACGTCAAGAATTCCGCCGTCAGAGAACGCGCCCCGGCCAGGCGTGGTGGCGAGGGCGCCGAGGAAAATCTACGCGCGCGCCCCTGCCAGGAGGAAGGAGAGGTGCAGGGGGAGAACGAGCGGGGCGGCGATGAGGAGGGGGAGAAGGAGGAGGAGGTGGAGGAGGGCAAGGTAAAGGCCGAGGAGGGGAAGAAACATGAGGAGGAGAGGGAGGAAGTGGAGGAGGCGGAGGAGGAGGTGGAGGAGGAGGCGAAAGAGGAAGAGGATGAGAAATACAACGAGTGGGACGAGAAGGAACAGGAGGAGGAGGAGAAGGAGGAAGAGGAAGAGGAGGAGGATGAGGAGGAGGAAAATTACGGAGAGGGCGGAAGGAAGTCTCCGCCAGACGAAGAAGCAAAAGGCGAGGGGCAAGCTAAATCGATTATCAGGTGGGGTCCTACCTTCGGAGTAGTTCATGAGCGGATCACACCAGGAACTGGTTGATGAATCCAGCAAGCTGCTCGACGGCCCCGAAGATAAGAGAGAATGTATAGGATTTTGTTTCTGGCTATCCTTCGCAATCAACTCATCCGTGATGAAGGCACTGATCGAGTATGGAAGGTAGAGCTGGACACAGGCATGGGTCTCCTGTTTTCGGGCGAAGTGGCCGACGCCACTTTCCACGGCATGGTCGAGGCCCCATGCGTCCTTCGACCCGAAGTCAGAAGATACCATGGTGTAAGGTTGTACGGCAGACTCGAAGATCATAGTCTCATCTTCTTTCGTGGCGACGTCAGACGTGGCTTACACAGACTCCTTTTGAGGCGCATGATGGAGAGGAGCACGTTTTTTCAAAATCGAGCTTGAGGGTAGATCGACCGAGGCAACCATGATGCTTGATGTAGAGCTGAGGAAGGATGTTGAATGGAGAAGGTCTGGAAAGCTCTCTTCGTTCTGCCAAACGAAGCCTTCTTCCATCTTTACTCCTCTCTCTATTTCGTCTGCTCATCCCTTCCATGTGCACATGGCATGGCCCTTCCCAATGACTCATCCGTACAAGCCATTGAGTAGCAGTGCGAAGGCCGCGAAAACTAGCATATCGATGTTTTCCGATGTCATTCGTGCGACAAACGGTGCCGATGTTAGCCTATATCCCTCTCCTTCTGCCAAATACACATCCCGTGTCAAGGACGGTTTTATCATTCTTCCCTACTATTGAGAATGGGAGCGTGCGAAATTGAGCGCCGAGTAATCCGAGGCCGAGCGGTTGTTTGGCACGAGCCGGTTAAAGACCCCTCGCGTGTCTTTCAGACTGTCAGAAGGCCACTTGCTGCACAAACTAATGAGTTTCAATTCTCCTCCAGGCAGCCGCACCCTCAGCGTGGTGCGATATTATATGGAGGTTGGTTGGGGTCGGTGGAGGTTTACAGCCCTGTAGCCCTTGGGCGACAGAAGCCCGACGACCACATTTGCAGTCGTCGTAACGGCGGGGGGCGTGCGCTCACTTCACTGTAGGCATTTTGGCCCAGAACGCGCAAGCGACCAGGCCAGACCGAGGTTAGCTGAACTCCTCGGGGCCCAATGCCACGATGAAAACATCGTCTCATTTTATCGTGCCCCCTTCCCCACCCTCCTCGCCCGCGTCCTGGTCCTTATCCTGGCCTCTTCTCAATCCTCGTCTCTCTGTCCTCGTCCTCGTTCTCGGCACGCCCTCGTCCTCGTCCTCGTGCTCCTCCACCTCCATCGCCGCCTCTTCTGGGGACATCTCTCCTCCCATCTCCCGTCCTCCTTGTTCTGCTCCTTCTGATCGTTCTGGTTGCCCTCCGCCGCCGCGGGCTCCCTTCGCCTGTCGTGTCCCCAACAGCCCCCGATTCCGAAACCTGCGCGCTTGCCCTCCGCCGCCGCGTTCCCACGCCGTCTGTTACAGAATCCAACTCTTTGGGACCCTCTCGCGCTATGTCAATCACCTCGGTCTTCCTGCGACCTTGGCCTAATATGCAAGAGGATCGTGGGCCTGGGGTGGAGTCGCTGCGACGGTGCTGGCCCTCACTTGGGCCCAGGTATCCTGTCCAGCGTGCGCGCTTGGGCCCTGGGACGGCTCTGCCCTCAGCGAATTATGTCTTGCGGCGTCCTCCGTCCCGGCGCCACGGGGTGTCGCTCCAGCTTCCCTGGGACCTCATGTCATCGCCTCCTGGACCGTCTCGTTCCCGACACTCGTCCCTGTGGCTTGCCGAAGGACATGGGAAAGCAGCTTCAGATGTCATCGTGGCGGCCAGGTGCACGCATGACATGGCCTTCTGTCGCAACCCAGAGGAGGCTGGGGACCGACAGGGCTGGAAGGGGCCCCGCAGCTCAAAACGGGCTCAAGGATGGAAGCCACGGTGAATCGATCCCCCGTGCCCGTACCAACCCGTCCCTCTCTCGCTCCCCCATGCTCCCCTCGTAGGCGATGCCCCGGCTGGCCTTGACCTCGCCCGCCACGCCTCTCGCGGAGAGAAAGCCGGTGGCGGCCTCTGCAAGCGACGGGCAGCGGAGGGCGGAGCGAGGCGCCCCGATGTGGGGCAGGAGCAGAGCTGCCGAAGCGCCGGTGGGGGAGCGACGGAGGGCGACGGAGCCACAGGGAGCGTCGAGAGGAGAGTCGGCAGCTGTGTGCCGTAGATCGGCTGCGCGCAGCTGGCTGGCTTTCAGGGCGCGCGGGGGGGGGGCGTGCAGGGCCTCTTGGGATCAGCGGGCAGGAAACCGTCGGGGCCAAAGTTTTTGGAGCATCGCCGTGCGAAGTCAGAGCGGCCCCACCGAAACCCCGGCACATCTGGACAAGATTCGAGCATGTCTGTCCGAGATTGGCGTGGGCCCATTCGACTCCTCTTACAACTCTGCTCGTCGGCAAGAGGCCAGTTAAACCGCAGATCCGGCGACACTGTGGGTCTGGACACTCTCGTACCAAGGCTGGAGCGGGATCTTGCGTGTTTCGGGGGCTTGACGAGCGGTCCCAGAACGTTGAGAATCCACAAAATCCGGCACGGGAGCTCCGGAGAGCGAAATCCCCAGCAAGCTTTCGGCCGAAAATTTGCTCCGAGATGTTTAATGATCTTGTTTCCTCGGGGAACAATCGCGAGGCTCCCGTGGAGCTGCCAACCTCCTCCTCTTCATCCTCCTCCTCATCAAGCACAATAGTTTCACGGATGGAGGGCGGTCCGCTTGAAAAATGTGGCTCTCGCACTAAAGCCGCGCGCAATCATTCTAAGTACATTCAAGCACTTAACGGATTGAGGGCGGTCCGCTATCAAAATGTGGCTCTGTTCTCAGTGCCGAACACATTCGTCTGAGAAATTTGCAGGAGTTTCACGGATTGAGGTCGGCTCTTTTTAAAATGTGGTTATCGCCTCAGCGCCGCGCAGATTCGTCTTGAGGGCTTGCAGGAGTTTCAAGGGTTATCATGGTTAGCGTACCAGAAACCGTGTATTGGCATGATGTCGGAATGCCAGAACGCAACGGTCACATTGATTCGCGGTGTTCGGGTCCCAAAAACGGTGTTGAGGCACGATTCAAGATCGCCAAGACGCATCAAAAAATTGTGATTCACTGCGTGGAAGTCCCGAGGATTCTGTTCTGGCACAGTTCCAGATGTGCTAAAAGTTGTCTTCCAACAGGGCATTTCCTTCAGTGAAATACGAATCCGTGAGGGTGGGAGCCGGTTTAAAAAAAAAAAAACTTGGAGGAAGAGTTGACTGCAACATCGCTGACGAAGCTTAGGATTGCTCCTCCTCCTCCTCCTCCTCCTCCTCCTCCTCCTCCTCCTCCTCCTCCTCCTCCTCCTCCTCCTCCTCCTCCTCCTCCGCTTCCTCCTCTCCATCATCCTCATCGTCATCTCCATCCTCACATCCTCATCCTCTTACTCATCCGCCTGTTCCACCGCCTTCCCCGTCACCCGTCCCCCCCCTTCCTATCTCTACTCCCTCTTCCTCCTCCTCCTCCTCCTCCTCCTCCTCCTCCTCCTCCTCCTCCTCCTCCTCCTCCTCCTCCTTCGTCAAGCCACTTGGGCTCCAACCAGTTGGGGCCGACTCTGGTGTCTGTTCGGGGCGCTTAAGGCATTTCCCATCGCACCCCTCTCCCCAATGGGCGGTAGGTCAACCAAAGCCAGAGCTTCAGTTACACAGTCATGTTTCTTCGTCTCTGGAGTCGATGCAGCTCCTGTCAGAGGCCGGAGTACAACGACATCCTCAGCCGTCAGCACAACCATTGCAAGTGCGGGGAGAAGGTCAAGATCTTCGTTCCCAAGAAGTCGTCGGGGGCAGACAACAACGAGTCTTCCTCCACCTCCGACGCCAAGCCGTCCTCTTCGGTCGCGGACCATCTGAAGGCGGCGTTGGCGGGCACTGACGATCAGGAGTTGAGGCAGATTCTCCAGGCCAAGATCGACGCCCTCCACGCGACGGCCGACCAGCGCGGGTCGCAACAGCCTTCGGAGGCCGTCATGGTCTCCAAGGCCGATGGGGGTCTGGAAGGACTGCAACCACAAGCACAACCGGGCGGTCGCCAACGTGGTCCGCCTGCGGGCGGCGCTCGCGGTCGCATAGGAGAAGGAGCAGCTCGCGGCGCGGTCCCTGGCTTCAGCTGAGATCGGCAAGAACCAGGCGGCCGAGGCGCTCGCGCGGGCTGCAGGCATCGGGCCCACTCCTGGCGACGGCCCGAGGCCAGCTTTCGAGGTCACGTGGGACGCCGAGCTCTTCGACGACGTCGAGCAGGTCGACGTCGAGCCTGGCGCGACCAGCTACGTCACATCGAAGCGGAGCTCGAGGAGATGAAGGAGATGCCCGCGTCGAAGAACTCGGAGGCGCGGGCCTGGCTGGCCAGGGCCGACGAGGTCAGGAGGAGCATCGCGGAGAGGGCCGCCAAGATGCGCAGGGCGCAGGACGGGCAGGCCGCCCCGGGCGCGCCCGCCGCCGCGGCGCCGCCTGCGTCGACGGCCGGCAACGCGGGAGGCGCCAGCGCGGGGTCTCAGGCGCCCGCGCAGGCAGGCCCAGGGCCCGCGCGCGAGGAGGCCGCGGCGCAAGGAGCCCAGCGCATCCCCGAGGCCAAGTTCGCGGCGGCCGCCAAGGCAGAGGCGCAGAAGGCATCCTCGTCGGGCAAGGGCTCCAAGGGCGGCAAGACTGAGGGCGCTGCAGCCTGATGGTCTGCGCCTGGGGCCGAGCGCCCCGCGGGGGCGACGGCGCCGCGCCATCAGACGCCAGTTGTGTCGCAGGAAGCCGCCCATGACGGCAAGGATCAGTGCAGCCGCATCTTCTGTGGGAATGTCACTACCATGGGTGAATATGCATGGTCTTCTATATGTTCCATTTCTTCTTCGCATCAGCATATCGGGGTCGCAGAGACTCACGTTCCTGATTCACAGCTGCTCAAGTGGGATACTCGTGCAAGAGGAGCTGGTCTACGGCTCACGGCGAACGCAGCACCGCCAAGCGGGCGCTACCGTTCCAGTTCCACCGCCGACAAGGCCAATGGTGGTGGAGAGCGGGCACTCTCACAGGGGCACATGCGGAGTCGCTGCAGGAGGCTCGACCCACGACAGCCCTTCGTGGGCAATGGGTCAGCTGTCCTCGACGGCTTCGTGGCGACCGTCATCCATTGCTCTGGGTGTTCGTTCGTTCTTTGTATGTGCTACGGGTTCACCGCACAGGGCCTCGCTGGCCGCGACCTCGCGCGGTTCTACCATCTCGGCGGGCTGCTCCGCAGCCCTCGGTTCCCGGGGATGTGCCCAGGCGATTGGAACGCGGAGCAGCCCGCCATCGTAAAGTCGGGCTTCCTCGACCAGGTGCTCCGCCGCATCATTGCCCCAGGGGAGGCCACCCACACCTGCGATTTCAGCAAGCGGGGGGGGCGCGCTGGACTTCGCGATCGTCAGCAAGGCCGCCATCCCGTACATCGTGCCCCTTCAGCCTAGGCTGGACACCCCGTGGAGGCCACGCGTCGGCATCTCCATGACCATCCGCAGCCAAGGGCTGCAACTACTTACTCGCAGGCTGGCATGCCCCAGCCGCCTCCCGCAGGTGGCCCGCCCATGTTCTCTGCCTGTCCGGGGCTCCAAGTCGTCTCTTCGCCAAGCAGGATAGGAGGTTAAGAGCTGAGCTTGCGAGGACATCTCGCAATGGAAAGATCCATACACTCTTTGGTGCGCATCTCGGCGACCAGTCGGGAGGCGAAGCCTCAGATCCGCCAGCACCCATGCCAGCCAGTGCACTGGGTAAAGAAATGTCTGGTGGATCCCTCGAGGCTGACCATTGGCCCGACGTGGAAGATCCCCGGGCCCACGAGGGCAACTTCTGTGAGGTCCCCAGCCAAAGTGAGCCCTCGATCTTCAGAGTCGTCGCGTCTCATCACTGCTTGGAGCCTGCCAGCTGCAAGTGTTCTGCAAGGTCCACCACCACCACCCAGCCAAAGGCTGCGTCTCGCAGATTGCCCCCCCCCCCCCCCCCGTTTGAATCGGGGGCCCCGTCGACCAAGGAGGGGCCGTCGTTTCGCATTCCGTCGTTGGTTTGGGCTTTGTGCCGTGAGCAAAACAGGTGCACTGTCGTTGGCCCCCCTCCCCCTTCTTTCTCCTCCTCCAAAGCCTTCTCGCTCAACCCCCAGCGCGTGGGTTCTGCCAGTTCGCGGCGCGGCCAGCGGGTCACCACTCTTGAGCAGGCCGTCCTCGCTCACCACCAGCTGCCGTTTTCAAGGGGGCCCGAGTCGGGCAGAGGGCTGCAGCTCTGTGACCGAGCCAATCAAGCACAACGGACGCCAGCGTGAGACTCCGCCACGCGACGGGGTCACAGCGCGGTGGAAACGAGCATCATCGGCCCTTCAGCAGAAGGCGCGACACCTGGGCCGTGACAACGGTGCGAGGCAAGATTCGCAACTACGGCGCGCCTGTCAGCATCTGGCTTCAGAGCGGCCCGACAGCGCGGGCAAGATTCTACGCATCGGCGTCAAGCCCTCTCTTGTCGACCGGGTCGGGCCCCCGCTCAACGTCAGCGGCAGCGCTGCCAGGGTCGCGGAGGGGTTCCAGCAGCAGGCGGGTCGCATCGAGCAAAGGGCCCATCGTCGTGCTGTGTGTGAATTCTCGACGGAGCTCAAGGTTTGGCTCTCCGACGCGTCCTCCAGCGGCGCCGCGCACCGTTCGCTGCGCGAGGGCCTTCTGCCCAAGCAGGAGATCATCGTTGGAGAGGTCGCCATCTCGCATCCGAAGGACATCCTGGACGCGAAGGGCCGCCAGCGGCGCGGCATCTGGAACGCCAGGCCCCTCGACCCCGCTGCCCTGCAGTCCGCCGTGGAGACCGCGCAGGATGCTGCGCGCGACGAGCCCCGCCCCCCCCCCCCCCCCTCGCTGATGGCGAGGTGCGAGCAGCTGCGCGGCGCATGAAGGGGCGGACCGCCTCGCGCCGCTGGACATCGAGCGCATCCCTGACGAGGGCGCGGACGAGCTCGCAGCCCTTTTCAATTTGTTCGAGTCGGCCCTCGCCCGGCCGCACCAG